ACTACTACGACGACGACGACGACGGACATATTCCTTCTGTTTTCTGTAGCTAGGGGGCCCGAAGCATGGCGCGGCCTCCTCCTTGTCATTGTCCCATGGGAACTTGATGTTGCCCAGGAACTTTCCAAAGGCCTGGCCAGGGTCCACTGATGGGCCGGATATTCGATGCTGAAGGGTTTAGGGTTTCTAGGGCTCATAGGGTTTGTAGGGCTTATAGGGTTTATAGGGTTTAGGGTTTATTGGGTTTAGGGTTTATAGGGCTTAGGGTCTAAATGCACTGCATGCACTCATGACACCACATAGGCATGGCCACCAGGCATTCTCACGCCTCTCTTGATCCAAAGCCTGGGCTCTTACAAAATCGCGCAGCCCTCATCCCGCAAGCATACTTCCGAGGAACAAAACCGGTGAGGGAACACAACTCAATGCCCCTATAGACTGCGATTCGTTCAAGACAGTCATGCACACAACCTACTTCCTAGGGCTAGATCAACGAGCTTAACCTACTGTCTTTACCCTCAAAACAAACACTTTCACCTATCAATAAATCCTTAGGGCCGGCCACCTTGAGACGCTGATTACTTCCGGGCCTTTCGCTCCAGCCGCGCTGCACGCCGCGCCCGGCGTCCGCGGAGGGTGGCGGCGGCCCCTTTGAAACTCTCTTGAGCGTTTAGGGGTTAGGATTTGGATCTTACTTTCGAACCCCTAATTCCGTTGGCTGACAAATGCTGTTACAACACAACTCCTACCACGACTACGAATACGGCTACGACTCGCACGAGGGCTTGGACTCCGACTCGAATTAGGAATTTCGACGACTGCGACGCAGCCGACGACGACTACAACTGACGAAGACGGAGACCTCGCAGCATCGTAGCCATGTGCGCATAAGACCCGACTACTATACTACGGCTACGACTACGGACTATACGGCTTGGACTACGACTATGGGGCTAGGACTGCGAGCGCTGTTACTGCTGCCTCTGCTGCTGCTGATCCGGCTACTATTACGCCGACGATGGAGCCTGTGGCGGATTCTGCTACCCTCAACCGTGTTGCCAGTTAATTCCGTGTTGCTGCGCTTATCTGTGTTGCTGCCCTTGATATGGTCGTGCGCTTGTCCCAACGGTCGCGCCTACTACTGCCCTTCGTAAGTCTAGGATTCCGGCGGCACGAGCTGTCGGCAGACACAACGGCCACAAATCGCAGGTGGGCGGCGTAAGCACTTGCTGGGGACACAGAACAGTCCCCGTCACATCCATCACAGGGACTTCAGCCCATCCTCCTACACTCCTAAACCCTGGCCTAAACCCTAAACCCTAAACCCTAAACCCTAAACCAGCCAGCATTCACCAAGCTCCTGCGAGGGCCGCGGCCGCCGGCGTCAAAGCCGCGGGCGCCTCGCCCAGTTGAGTTCAGAAAAGGTTTTTTGGTAGGACAGGGTTTTGGGGTTCAAGGTTAAGGGTTTTAGGGTTTAGGGTTAAGGGTTTTAGGTTTTAGGGTTTAGGGTTTTAGGGTTTAGGGTTTAGGGTTTTAGGGTTTAGGGTTTAGGCGCGGAGACCGGAGCACGGTGAAGGTACGATTCAGACCTTCGCCCGGAACCAGGCATGGTGACGAAAGAACTTCTCAACACATCTGCCAACACGCAAATGCGTTCATGCACAGACACAGGCACGTGTTCATGCAGACATCTGCGCATGTGTGCGCATGTGTGTGAGTCTCTCTGTCTGCGTGCCTGTCTGTCTGCCTTTGTCTCCACATCCGTTGCTAAGTACCTGCCTCTGTGTGCTGCCATGCCGACCTACTTCATTACATACCCACATACAGGCCATGAGTGCAGATTCCGATGCATATACTGGCATATACATACAAGTCAATACCACGTCAACTCATGTAAGTATTGTATGAAATTCGAAAGTATGCAGTATGCAACGTGACAGAGAGAAGGAGAGACGGAGAGAGAAAGAAGAGAGTGGGAAAGAGGGAGAGAACCAGAGAGAGAGAGAGAGAGAGAGAGAGAGAGAGAGACACACACACACACACACCCACCCACACACTTGCGCTCACATGCCTGCGTATGAGTGCGGCGGCTACTGCATAGTTGATGTTGGTGTGCAACTCTTACACTACATTGCACTACAGTGGATGACTAGACTGCACGACCATTTACTATCGTGTGTGCTGTGTCTCGACCCGAGGGAACAAGAGTACATGCTACATACATGCGTCCTTCCATCCATCCATCCATCCATCCATCCATCCATCCATCCATCCATCCATGCATACGCGCACATACATACATACATACATACATACATACATACATACATACATACATACATACATCAACACACAAAAACACATATATAGAAATACATATATATATATATACACACATATATATATATATACATACCGTACATCCAACCGTCCATGCATCCATCCACCCACCCACCCATCCATCCATGCATCCATGCATACGTGCATGCAGACGTGCAGGCATACTTACACATATATACATATACTTACTTGTTGCGGATATACATACCTGCATGCCTGCATACAGATCTACATAACTACATACCTGCATGCTGTATGCATGTATGTTTGTATGCATGCACGTGTGTATATGTTGACTACTGATACATTGCATGCTGCATCACACTTGCAGCGATTCACTTTCAGTGCTGAGCACCTGACGTAGCCTAGACTTCCTACTTTAGTTCGTACTGGTACTAAGACAGTACCATTGCTAGTGCTACGACTGCCGCTCCTGCTGCGGCAAGTGTTCTATTTCTATGCCTGGCGATCGCGAAACCCGACACCCCAAACCCCGAGCCTAAGCCCCTAGACCGTAAAAGCTAAACCCCGAAACCCCTAAACCCTAAACCCCTCAACCCTAAACTGGCCCTAAACCCCTAGACCCTAAAAGCTAAACCCCTCAACCCTAAAACTGGCCCTAAACCCCTCAACCTTAAACCTTCAACCCCTCAACCCTAAACTGGCCCTAAACCCCTCAACCCTAAACCTTAAACCCCTCAACCCTAAACTGGCCCTAAACCCCTCAACCCTAAACGTTAAACCCCTCAACCCTTCACTGGCTGGGTTTTTGAGTCTTCGGATGCCTGCGCTCGCAGCCCGCTCGGCTGCGCTCGCTGGCTGCCTCCTGGATCTGCAATGCAGTATAGGGTTTTAGGGATTAGGGCTGAGGGTTTAGGGTTTAGGGTTTTACGGTTTTGCGGGTTTAGGGTTTAGGGTTTAGGAATTAGGGATTAGGGCTGAGGGTTTAGGGATTTACGGTTTAGGGTTTAGGGTTTAGGGTTAGGGTTTAGGGTTTTACGGTTCACGGTTTAGGGTTTCACATTTTAGGGTTAAGGGTTTAGGAATGGCAGCAGTAATATTGGTACTTGCAAGCTGCAGGCAGCTCCTGATGAAGCTACAGCGGCAGAGGAACACAAAGAGGCAAAATCACTTATGTTAATAACCCTAAACCCTTAACCCGAAACCCTCAACCATAAACCGCAGTGTCGAGCCACGACTTCAGTAGTGAAGCACAAAACCCCCTATAGCTTACTTGGATGTAAGTAGAACAGGGCCTGGAGTCTATTGTACAGTGTACATGAATACATGAACAAACACAGTCAATCACTAAACATATATATATATACATATATATATATATCTGCTCGCCCCCCCTCCCCCAAGATCCACACAGTCGCGGTTCACGGGGCATAAGGTGCACGATATACTATATACTGCAATGCTCCAAACTTTCCAAAATTTCCAACCCTGCAATTCACGAAACACTGTAATGATCAATAAATTCCAAAAACTCCAAACTCCTGGCATCTATGGCCAGGCCGAGCCCAAATGCGCGCCAACATAAACCGAATTTTGAAATATGTTGAGCATTACAGTGGTGTTCTTTGAGTAGGCCACGAAACACTGTAATGCTCAAAAAAAAGAAAAAAACAAGATTCTGGCATATGTGGTATGGCCGGGGCCAGATTCCCAAAGAATTCTAAAAATTATTGTTTTTTGTGCAGAACCGTGTTTCGTAAGTTTTGGGATTGGAACTTTAGAAATTTTTGAGCAACAGAGTGTTTTGTGAGGTTAAGGCCACGAAACTCTGCAAGGCTCAACAACTTCCAAGATTTCCAATCCTGAAACTCACGAAACTTTAAAATTCTGGCATCGATGGCCAGGCCGAGGCCAGATTCCCGAAACAAAATTGAGTTCCTAGAATTGTTGAGCATTACAGTGTTTCGTGGGTTTTGAGGTTGGAAATTTTGGATGTTTCTTGAACTTTACATTGTTTTGTGAGGTTCAGGCACCGAAACACTGTAAAACTCCAAAATGATGAAAATTTTCCCGACCCCCCGAGCCATAGACGCCAGGAGTATGGAAATTATGGACATTTTGGATTTGAGCATTAGTTTGTTTCGCGAGTTTCAGGGTTGGCAATTTTTAGATTGTTTGCGCATTACGTTGTTTAGTGATGTCCAGGACGAGAAACAGCAGGACGGG